CGGCGCATCGGCGCAGATATGCTGCATCGGCGCATCGGCGCAGGTGTGAGGTGCTACACTCATTGCCCCCACACTCTTATATCTGCAAACTCTCTGGCACTTATCCTCGAGTGCCGAATCTCACCAAGCATTAGGGCAAAAAAAGATGCTGTATGTTGCATCGCTCGAGACAGACATTCCGCAAGGAGGGCGTCCAATTTCACGTGCAGCACGCCCTCTACTGAGGGTCCCACAACGATGCGCGTTTGACTTGCGCAGGTGTACGATGTGGCCAACTTCTACAAGAAGACCGGTGTGTGGCAAGCAATGGCCCGCAATGACAAATTCGAGCGCTTGACGCTCATGGTGATTTGTGTTCTGGCCTGGCTCAGCCTTGTGAAATCCAGGAATGATGCCAATGAAAATCAAAGTGATAGGGGTTCTTTGTTGTCAAGCGCGCCCACTTAGGTATCAATGCCATTTACATTGGAGTGGATGCAGACAACAACAAGGCCTCGACGACCATAAGCGCAGAATGGCCGTACCAGGTGTGCGACCATGCCTTCTGCTTGTTCTTCACGCACCGTGGTTGCCATTTTTTCAGTGCAAAACTATGTAAACTTCGGTGTGAGAAGACTGAGCTGTTAGCAGAATGTCTCATGCAAAAGCACAGCTGCGATGCGTTCCGAAAGACGTCGTTCAGCGCATCTGAGGTTCGAACTGGCTGTCCGCTTTGCTGCCTTCGAACGCAAGCGCAACTGCCTGCGCGACATGTGGTTCATTTTCGATACCACGCTCGCGACTCGAAAGGATTCGACAAGAAACTGTCAAGCACTAATGTGCAACGGCCGCAAAGCAAAAAACTTGCTGCCAAAGTAGCAGAGCAGGAGTCAGGAGCAGCTAGAGCGAGATTAAAGGAGTCAGTCAGCCGGGCTCTTAGAAACAGGTTGCGGTAGTTACCTCTCTTGACGCATGGACTGGGGCCGTCTATGAATCCAAGAGGACATCAGATAGCAAAGCGACATGCTCTCTTTCCAGGGTCGTCGTGTTAGAGGGGTCCGAGTGTTTGTGGATGTAGTAAGCGTCACTAGCTTCAGATTTGCTGTTCCCGGCTGGGTAACAAGATGGGTCGCAGTCAAGATTGTCAAATTCCATTCAGCATGCATCAGCATCGTCAGAGCAGTTCAGATCGTAGATCGGTGCTGTCTGAACTGACCGTAACTAACCTGATGCCCGAAGTCGAACAGCCTGACCTGGCTTTGAGCTGGGATAATGTCTTGAGGTAATCCTCATGGTCTTTGAAACTTGGATTCTCAGCATCGTGCTCTTGATAGCCGCTTGTCTGAACCAAGCCACGGGTCGCTTGCTTGGGTGCGCAGGGCTTGTAGCTCCAGCGAAGCACGAGTCTCGATTGGCTCCAACCCTGTCGGAGCGTGCCCTCCGGGCATGGGACCATGGGAGCCACAGCGTTGCGTGGGGACCTGGACGGTCGCGCCACGCGAGCCGATGATCGGACAAACCAAGGGGCCTCTCGCAGAACGGTTGCCTTGCAGATACAGAGGAGGCCCCGCGCAGGTTCGATTGCCATGTGGAGGCTGCAGAGTCTCCCAATTGACGACGACATCGGCGGCGTGCCGTCAGATATCTTTGGCGACTACGCCCGAACAACATGAGCCTGTGACAGTCCTGTAAGAAAGCAAACTCAACTCTGCCACTGTGTTCCACAGCCGGTGGACACCTGGACATCAACAGTCTGTATCTCTATCTCTACTCGTACTGGCACTATGTCGTAGTAGTGGTTCTTGTTGTTGCAGCGAGCACGGTGATCATTATTATGAATAGGCTCGGCATCTTGCCCAAACAGTACGAACTGTTCCTCAGAATCATTCACTACGGGCTGTCGGGCACTGTTCGCGTTCGGTGTCTCTTTTTCCCTGCTTGGGTGCCCTATCCGAGCTTCGATATTTCCTTGATGTTGCATGCATTCACCAGATGAATCCGGTGATGTGCGAGCGAGGTCTGGTTGGTTGCCATGGTGTCGGGTGCAGATGCAATTCGGAGGGGCTTCCAAGAGCCCACCGGTAAGGACATGGTAACCTTTGACCTCGAGCCCGTCTCATGTTCTAAGGCCATTTATTGTTGCGGCGGCCAGCGAGTGTCATGCATTCACAAAATATGTTCGCGGGCCTTCGCACAATGAGATGGTGCAAGTCAGTGCAAGTGGTCGCCGAAAGCCGGGCTGGGTGCTGTTGTCCTTCTTGCTTGGCGTTGCCCATCGAAAACACTATGCGAACCTAGATTTGCAAGCCGAGCCATGGACGACTTGCAGCGTGGCGGTGTGTTGCTTATCTTGCTCGTGACTGCTTCAGTCATCACTTCTGTGTGCTGAAGAATTCGGCATCCTTGGTGCTGTGGCGCTCATCGACGGGGCTCGTCCTCATCTGCACGTATTCTTGCGATCTTGAGTGGTCATGTGGAACACCACGCCGAGTTGATTTTGGATCGGGGCATTTAAGACGGAAGCAGAACCCTTTTTTGATGGCCATGCTCTTGTTTCAGGAAGCCAGGTTCAATGAATGCGGAGGTGATTCTAATTCTAATCTATCTATGACCCGCCGTAGGAATTAGTAGATGATAGATACCTCTCCAGACAGCCCCCAACGACCTCCTCGATTGCTCCATTATCGTGTGTAACGAGTTGCCTTAGCAACCTGAGCATGTTTCACCGGATGAGTCGTGCAACCAATCACAGCTTTCGCAGCTCGGACCAGTAGCGCGATAATTTCGCATTCTTGGTGTGGCGGCTGAGCTTGCACATGTCTGGTATTCTCCGGTTGGAATAACTAATTACTTGTGCTCCATGTCAGTGATCTTCCCACTGAGTGGATGATACGAGGCTTTGCCTTTCTCTTGTGGACGGTTGTTGCATTGTATTCCCACGGATCGTTTCCCCGAAAGCACTGCACTGGAGTACAATTCGAGGAGGTAGGCTTGCAGTTCAGGGGCTGCCACCTTAAGGTCCAATCTGCAGACGGGGGTGGTGTTGCAACCGGGCCACTCCGCCTTCTGCGGCTTCTGAGGCGGGATGTCTTTGTTCTGAGACTTGGCAACTTGGAGAGAGCATGCCACAATGCCCATTTGCGAGGCTTTCGCGTTTGGTGCGCCTTCTTCGTTCCCTGCCGGAGACCGGTTTGATCTGAACAACCAACTCCCAGAAGTTCTCTGGCAGTAACTGTCCAGCTCGAGATGTCAATGACACTGGGTACGAAGAGGGTAAGTCCGATTCGGGCTCCCCATTTGGAGCCTGTTTCGTTAAGACTTTGTTGTTTGAAGCTTGAGTACTGCTTGCTTGATCTGTTCCTCATTCCCCTAGTATTCCCCTGCTGCCAAGAATCGATAGGTGTGCCACGTAAGGCCGGCTTGGGGATATTGAATCCACGAGCTGGCAAGTCTTGCTCGCACAGTTGCAAACATGGTGTCCGAAGCTAAATGGCGCTTTCGAAGCTGCATACCTACACAACTGCCCGTACTAGAAATACTTCAGTCTTTCATCTCACAGCACGCCAAGTCTGCTCTTCGTGACACATCAGCAACACGAATATGATTCTCGGGCCTGTCTAATCTGCGGTTGGCAATGTGCAGCAACTTGGTCCCTGGCATCGTGTTGTGCTGGTGCGGTGTTTTCTGCAACTTTCCCGAGTCTGCAAGAAGTTCTGGTCGTGCGCCGTTCGAGTGAGTGTTAGTGCTAATTCTGTGAGACTACTGAGCGCCAGGGTTGCTGCTTGTGGGTGCGTTGCACAAGCGTGGCAGGAGTTGCTGACACTGGTAAACGGAATGCGAGCTGCTGCGCGGGCTGTTATCTCGGCTCTCATGTTTTCTTGGCTGCAAGAAAACGTTGCAACTGAACCAATGCACAGAACGCTGTTTGCGTGAGGGGCCTTGTCTGCCAGCTGTTGCCGCAGAGTGACACGGTCGTGACCAGGCTCATCATTGGTCTCAACTACGTCTTCGCGATTATCATCAACATGTTTCTGAGAGATATCCAATACCCGACACTTGTCTTGCAGGCATTGGAAGCAAAGCCCAGAAGCCCGCGGCGTTCGAGGGGCATTCTATCAACAGCTTTCATCTAAAGCTTCCTGCACAGCTGCCATCTTACAGTCCTACACTTGAATGCAAAAGAAGTCAAGTGCAGATGCAGAAGTGCAGCCATTTCAACAAGTTCGGTTTGCAAAGCGAAGACAATCCGCAAGCCTTCGAAGACTAGCTCAAGATGTCATGTCATCATGTCATGCAGCACTCACACCAGGGATGCCCAGCCAAGGATGTGTAGCGATGGAAACTCTTCGGGATTTTGTTCCGAAGAAGGGAACATGATGGAGCGCAAGTTCAACACACTTGGCGTGAGCATGTGGAGTTTGGCGCTCCATGGCACCTTTATGGATGCCATCTCAGACCTTCTCGAGGACATGCGCGACTTGGAGAACTTGGAAACAGGCCCCCTTTTGCCAAAAGTGCAGACAACCTGTGATTCAAGTTTTGGGCTGTTCACCTGAAACTGCCCGCAGGTGGCGGTTGGGTGCTGGCCTGGTCTATGATCTTCGTTTTCTTCCTTTACGTCCTCCTCACAAACATTACCGTCATGAACATGCTCATTGGGATCGTGTGTGAAGTCGTTTCAGAAGTAAAGCTGAGCGATGAGAAGAACACGGCCGTGGTTTATTTGAAGAGGAATCTCAGGAACTTGTTGATTGAATTGGATGAAGACAACAACAATCAGCATCTCGGCACGACAATCATTCTCGGCTCCGATGGCAGTTCTGTGAGACTTGCTGCTGCCGTTCTACCCCTGTGACTTATCTCTGCAGGATATCGAAGAGAGAACTAAATGCAGTACCTTGGATGCACGCTTCGGAGCGGACAGGAGCCTAATGTACCTAAAAGGAGGGCATGCGAAGCATTAACTCGTGCAAACACGAGACCGCAAGGCTGTTGAAGGTCCGACGTGACTTCGACGTGTTCACTTCCACAAGCTGTTCTTCAAAGGGTAGGGCAACAGTAGTTTGTAAGAAACTTGGGCAGCCCTGGCCGAACACGTGGTAGGCCTGCCAGCGGCAGCACGAACTGCGCAGGCATCGTAGGCCGCGAAGAGGGCCGGTACGGCTTAGCTCGAAACCTTATCCAAATGAGTTAGTTAGGCGAATATAAGCAGGTCGATCTGTTGTCAGACCCAGATACACGGAGTGAAGGCACTTGCATATTTGTTTTACATCTTTCGAGCCGAGTTCTGTCTCGGATGACGAAAGGCCTCGAAACTGCCTCGTGCGCGGGAAGTCTTGAAAGAGCTGGACGTGCCACTCATCTTTATACTAGATTCACGAAAGCTCGTGTAGCAGAGCTTGAGTTTAGCCTTGCTTTTAGCAGGGTTGCAGTCCAGGGCAGACGCCTTCAGTGCTGGCTAGAGCGTCTAGGTCTAGGGACCACATGATTTCCGTTGCAATCGCCACGGCTGCTGAGATCGGGTCACAGAGAATCTTGGAGACCCCCTCGCCTTTCGTGACCAGGGTTCTGCAAATATGTTGAATTCGCTACACGGTTCCGGGCCTAGTATCGGACCACCGAAAATGACCTTGATCCTCCTGCATGAGTGAGGGGATTCGGGCAGTTTTCGGTAGTGGAGCCCAACCGGGCTCGCCGCTATCCCTTCAGGGAGACACCACCTCAGCGGTTGGTCAAGGCCAATCGCGTCCCAAGCGTGTGCCAGGGCAAAGCACCATGTCGTCACACCACAGTGGCGAGGAACGCAGCAAGTCCTCTGGAGGTTACTCGAGTGGCGAGCCCTCTCGAGGACCAGCGTCATAGGCTGCGTGCCATGCTTATGCGTCATCAGTTTAGTGCTCAGCCTGTTTGGCATAAAGCCCAAGATTGTGCCCGCCTATGATGCCAATGATGGACAAGGACAATGAGAGAACCGTCTCTCAAGATTCGGGTCACCGGAATTGCCACAGCCGAAAGGGAAATTTTAGATCGTGACAACTGACAAACTTACCGCCGAACAATAACGCAACAAGAAGATGAGACCATTCGTCGTGAAAGGAGAACAGTATGTCTTCCTTTGGCGATTCCTGGGTTTCTTCAAGGCCCGGACTGATAAGCAGGACTTTGTCGCCTGGACAACGCAAGTTCGAAGTCGCTCTGCAGAAAGCAACTCATGTATGGACGTTCTTTCGGATGTAACCCTGGAAAATAACAACCGTGAGTTTGAATTGGATCTTCGCGAAGACTCGGACTTTACCAGGCGACAAGACCGGGCATGAAGACAAGCACATGCTGCTCAAGCTGTACCCAAAGGGAAGAATTACAAAATCAGATTTTTTCCCATTGAGCGACAATCTGCTCTCCCTGTTTCTCGTGCAGTCCGACCTGACAGTGCTCCAGTCACGGAAATATTCTCTCACATGCATGCAGAGCCTACCTTCAGCATCCGTAGCAACCAACCAACACGTTGCAACATGCATCCATCTCCGACAGAGAAATGCAGATATGATGGAAATGCTGCAGTCACTTTAACCAATAACGGCTCTCCTTCACCCTCAGGTGATAACTATCAAAAAAGTGATCCCGCAGGAAGCCTGGACACGCAACACACATCTGCGAGGACAGAGACAACGACATCCAGCTCGGAGAGGGGTAAACCGAAATGCCAGTGACTCCGAGCAATCCTGGCCGTCCTCTAACAGACAAACGAACAAACCTCAGGCAGTGCCCAAAACGACGTCTGCAACCAGCTCTCAAGCTGCTCCAGCCAAAGACAGTGGCTCTTCAGGCTCTGCAGCCAACAGCTGGACACCCAACAGGATGGGATAACTCCTTTCTCGGAGTTGGATATTCAGACGAGTCCTCTCTGGCAAATTCTGATCCAGACGAAACAAAACCGCAAGCATGTGGGAAAGTTTTCAGTTGGTCGACCACGATGACCGAACCAACTCTCGTCCTCTCAAGAACAAAAATGTGATTACACTAATTTATTCTCTATCGTGCGCATAGGACCAGGACTAGACGCACAAAAGAGTGCATGCTGTACCTGAAATTGCGCAAACCTTTATGACCCCATGAACTCCGTAATTTCCGTAATGCACTTGACAAGGACAGCCAAAGTTGAGTACATGTGTAAGTGTGCCGTTGCTTCCAGCAAAAAATTACGTAGAGTCTGTTCGAAGCCATGAAATCTTCTAATTACTGCGAGCAGCTGCACTGTTTCAGGGCTGACTAAAGCCTTGAGGTCTAAGGACCATACCCGGCTTGGGGATAGGGGGAGGGGAGAGGGGTAAATTGAACGGTTCATGAGCTTCGCTGTCAAGTAATAGTAGTAGTCACAGTAATACTAACACAACTAGTAGCAGTCTAGAAATAGTAGTAGAAATAAGAGTACTAGTTTAAGGAGATGTAATGATATCATGGTGACTATAATGGGAGTCATAATGAAAAAAGCAACGGATTTCATGCTTGTTACGGGGTCTTTGTGTTTCGATGCTGATTAGAACCTCATTTTGAGACACTGCCATGTGACTGGCATGCAGTGCATCCAGCACAAGAACGTCTCGATAGATCAGGTCACTTGTGTGTTTTCTCTTGATCTCGAAGTATATCCGAGTTTCCGAGGAACGTGGACAATCTGATTGTTTTGACCGAGCCATTGTTTGAGCAAGATGCTGACGCTGGCCGGGAGCAGGAAGTGACACGAGAAGAGCTCTTGATACTCGGCCGGTACCCGATGCTGCTCTTGGGGTCTCAGCGTGTAGGATCTCTCGCAGTGCCTGATTTGTGCAACTAGCGCAGAAACTGAGGAACGTAATTCTTGACATGCGTGGTGATCGCGATGTCCGAATGGAGGACATCGTCGAGCTGCGCTGTGATATCCGCCGCTTTGTCCACAGGCAAGGAGCGGTAAGAAATCCAGACCAATCAATTAGATTGAGTATGAGCTGCTGCTGCTGCTGCTACTGCTACTCCTACCACCACTACGAGTACCACTACCGCTACCAACACCACTCCCATCACCACAACCGCCACAACCACCATCACTACGACGACGACCACAGCCGAGAGCGAAGGATGTAAAACCGGTTTCTAAGAAACTGTGTTCCACAGTTTCTTTCATGTCACAATGCACAAATGAGCCGAGACCTAAGCCATCGAAGAGCTCGCCAAACTAGGGCCGGCATAAACAATCGGGTGCGCTAGCTCGCGTCAGCAACAGTCACATCCGCGTAAGGCTTGCGCACCGGTTGCTTTAAAAGCCAACGCACGCAAGGGGTGCGCGCAAGGGTATCTTGAGATCTTATAAAGACGACGACGGTGACAACGACGACGATGATTAGTACCTACTCCGACTAGTACTGCGACTGCTATTGCTGCTACTCCTTCTCCTGCCCCGGCCCCTGCTCCTGCTCCTAGCTCCTGCTCTTAGCTGCTGCTGCTGCTGCTTCTCCTGCTCACGCCCCTGCTCCTGACATTTAATGTCGCACAACCCCGATATTCCAAGCCTCTCGCCGACAAGGGGGCGGGGTCGTGACAGTAGGCATTCTCACTTGGCATCCGCCAGCTGGATGGCTCAAATGGTGGCTTCAATCCATGCATTATTACCAAGCTCGGAGTCGGATTTGGACGATGCGGACAGCATTGCACAAAGCTGCCTCCTAGATGTGGTTACCCACATTCATAGATGATTTCCGGCAATCGCACTGAAAAACTTTGATGTTCTTTTTGGAACCTCTCGTCCGTACTCAGGCCTGCAGCCCCCGTTTACTATGCCAAGCAAATTTGTTCTAACCACATTGACAACATCCCGGCATTCGTGACGCGTTGCTTTGCTCTCCATGGTCCGTTTTCGGCCACAGGCAAACCAACGAGCTTGTCAAGAAGACGGATGAGATTGCCGGGCACATCGAATCCATTGAGAGGCTCGCAGCTCGAGGGGCATGGAACACACAATCGGCTTGAGCTGTCTCTTGGTACTGCACTCCTTGCTGTTGCCAGGAAGCTTGCGGTTATCAGTGAGCGCATGAAGTGAAGGAGTCAAGAGGCTCTGCTTCAGTGTCAAGCCTCGCTTTCACTGCACACCCTAGCCGGCGAGCTTTCCACTGGATTTGGCAGTTCGCAGCTTCGATGTGCAGTTACATGGCAAAACAATGCCTTGTCGCCGAATCAATTTACGATAACCCTCAGGCCGGTTCTCCAGAAGGACAGCCGGAGAGGCTGGATGGAGCAAACAAACTTAAGAACTTGGTCAATTTGGTCAGCTGTCCGGTTTGATGTAAGCCCTTGTTTCGTTGCACTTCCGTCCGGTACGTGCCAGTTCAGTGAAAGTCACACTGCTGGCGCTTTAAAGAACCAGAGGCAGAGCTCGCCAATTTTTTTGCCGAGAGAAGTTAGATCTCTCGGTGGGTGAGGTTTGCTCGGAAGTGGCCTTCGCTTGCAAATGCTCCCTTTGGCTGGCTAGCGGCTATCTGATGCGGCTGACAGCCCGGAGATTTGCAAAGGCTGTTGGTCTTAGTGCCAGAGGCTTCTCGTAGTAATCTGGTTTAGTTGTGTTAGTTTTGTTGTGCTTCTGATTCTCGCAACAGCTGGGCTTGGAATGAAGCTTATCAGACTTTGTCGACTGAGCTCATCACAGAGTGAGAGTCTCGTCCTCGCACTGCTTTAGGTTTATTTGCGACAGAAAAACCCTGCATTTGCAGCTTGAGTTGGGGCGACGGGATGTTTTGAGAGAGCTACAGCTGACGGCTCGCCAGCTTGACATATACCAATGACTCCACTGACAGACCCCATCCAATTTTCGTTCGTGCCCGCAGGTTTGCCAGTGAGAACGGTTTGCTGGTAGAGATCTGCACGGGCTCTTGGTCTAAGTCGAAGTGCAAGTGGTTTCACATAATGATCTGAGGGAGAGAGAAAGAGAGAGTGAGTGCCTTTTGGGTTTTGCTTGGTGCAAGAGCTGAAGCGAAGCTGCACGAGCTCATCACACAGTGAGAGACTCGCACTGTTTTGGAACTGGTTGCCTGAGACAAGAAAGGCATGTCAAAGGATTTGCTACTGTTGCTCTCGAAACTGCTATGTATGCAAACATAGCATAGCATAACATAACGGCATAACGTCACAGAACAGAGCATAACATACATGTATAGGTATGTACACTATATATAGAGAGATATAGATCTATATATGTGTGTGGGAGGGTTCTAGGCCCTTGTGGGGTGCTGGTGAACTTGTGTTCCTTACAATCACTGCCCGAGCGAACCCGCTGCCAGCTACACGTTGTGCATACATTCCATGTTGTTTCTCGTAAAGGCCGCATGGGTTCTGCATATACATCGTTGCAACCCTTTGGCTCAAGCTGCTGGTGATGATGTCTATCCAAACAGAACTAGTAACTAGGCCACTATGGAGGTCTGCTAGAACGGGAGGTAAGTCAGGACGAAAGGGTGATGGTACTGCGATTGTGCAGGGGATGAAGGCCCAGTCAGGCATCTCCATGTCAGATTCAGTGTGCCCAGTACAACAAACACAGACATGACGAGCTACCCGGCGGTTTCTGCTGAGACTGAGCTGGCTCAACTGAAGGACTGCTCCTCGCTACGGCTAATTAACATAAGGACCCCTGAGCAACAACATAAACGATCAGCAGAAATGGTAATGGTTGGCAGATCCTGGAGTTGTGTATTGCGACAAGCAGCATCTATGCTAGTTGCCTTTCAAGTGATCTGGGCTGCGAGGAACTGCTTGCAAGACAAACATCAGCGAGAGAAGAGTTGCATCTGGCTGTTTCAAGTCAGCGTCTCAGTCGCCGTGGAATGTGCCATTTCACAGTCTCGCCAGTTGGACATAAAAGGCAAGGATGCGGCGAGACTGCAGACGGCTTTGCAAGCGGCACAAGGCTTGCTGCTGGATGTGGAGGCCTGGGTGGTGCCGTGCAAGTCGCCTCGCATGCATGACATGGGTACCAGGTGCAGTGGGGTCAGCAGGAGCTCACCAAAGTCTCTTCCAAAACAGAGTCGTGGCAGGCAGGTCGTGACCGGTCGTGATGCATGAAACACGGGAAGGGCTCATTTGGGCCACAGGTGGCGAGCCGGCCTATCCGAAGTGAGAGATTCATGTGTGAGTTCCCCTACCCTTCGGGTTGGCCAGGACGGGGAAGAGGCGATAGTGATCCCGTCCGCCGAGCAGCTTGAGCAGCTTTTAGCCGAGGCACATGGGCTCGAAGCCGGGGGACGTAATGTACAGATATGTACAACTTATGTACAGGTGACTGCATAAGTTAGTTCTCGACGCGGCAGAGCCCCTACTCTCGGCGCTGCTCAGCTGTGCCTTCAGGCGTATCAGCACACATCTGACCCTGCTTTCTAGCAAGTCGAAGCCCAGTCCCAGTCGAGACACTGAGCAGGACGAGGAGCGTCAGCGCCGGGAGGAAGCCGAGGCAGCAGCCGAGGAGCAACGGAAAGCTGCGGAAGCGGAAGTCGCTTGGAAGAAGGCACCAGCCAAGCGTTTGAAGACCACAGTCACAGGTGGAACTCTACGGATTAGCGAAGGATCTATGCTCCAGGTTGGGTCTCAATATGAGCGGGGAGCATGTTCACCCTTTTCTTGAACAGAGTGGACTGTTCAATTGTCTGCCCCCACTTTGCGCAGGGATTCTTAGCGATCTTGCATTGGACAGTTTTGGGCGTTGTGCGTGGGGAGGAAGAAAGACATTTGCATGTCAACTCGTTGGATCACGTCGGATCGAGAACTTCGGTGGATGCAGCCGGGTATTGACTTGGAACACGCCACGTTCCATCTTTGCTCCTGTTATAGTTGATCTTTTGGCCAGTCTTTTGGAGTCCAGGAAAGGCCAAGTCTTCACAAATCCTCGCGTCCTGCAAGTATCTGAATTCTACGTGTGCAGAGTTTGCCGCCCAGTCCTGTGAGGGTGTGCCGTCCTGACCATTGGTGTGGTGGCCTGCTGAGCGGTATGATCGACTCGAGTCCGTGTGAGAAAGAGGGCTAGACAGCTTGCATAAGCTCGTGCGACCAGGGAGGCTCCGAGCAACCTTGCTGTCACAACAGTCCCTTGAAACCAGTGCGGTTAACGCAGGAAGGGCCGTTCCAGAATCAAAGTGTGGTTTGCAGGGGAACTTCGAGGTAGGTTTCTGCTTTCTTCTCGGCAGCTTGGAGGTGCAAGATGCGATCAACGCCGACGACGAGGGCGCATTGCTAAAGGCGCTTAGTGACGTGGAAGGCAGCCCGGCGACAGCAGCTTTGTCAACGCCAGAACCGCAAATCATGCACCTTAGGCAGGCTGCCGCCGGACCGGGTTGCCGCAGCGAGGCGAAGGTGCGGCTGACTGTTGCTCTCTCCTTGGACTTTGGACTGGACTTTGGTGCTCCCAGGATTCCCGCCATGCGAGCCCGGGCGGAGATGCGGAAGGAGCTGTCTTCGGCCATCCGGAAATCAGAGCCTTGGTTCGCAGGCACGGGGCAAGTTGACAGCGGGAATCGGAGCCTCCAGGGTCTACAGCCTAGAGCCGCGAGCAAAAGAATGCGGTCCTTCAGTTCCGAGGAGCTCGAGGAGGAGACCGTTACACTCAAGCACGTGATTGCCACCGCCAAGCGCTCCTGCTTGCCACAGGCGGTCAGATGTTGAGTCGAGGATAGTTTGTCTTCTGTCCTTTGCAAACGTGGTTGTCATGGAATCCGTAAGTGGTTCCGACCCGAGAACCCACCAGGCTGAAGTGCTGGAGGCCGAAGCCGTCCTCAAGAGAATGGAGGCCGAGCAGCGAAGGGCCAAGGCGGAGAAGGCCAGCATTGAGCGGTCTAGGATTCTAGGACGTTCTAAGAATCTCCAGAGCTCGGGGAACTCGTGGCGATGCTTCAGTGCTACGCAGCTGCTATCATCCCATGCACTTTCTCTCGGAGAGCTGCTCACGCTTGTATGGGTGGGCAGTGAACCATGCGGAACTCAGGCTGGGGGTATTTAGTGGCGCCATATCAGCATGGTGGCAAGCAGCATTTTCATTTAAACCGCGACTCTTGATGCATGCGCGCCTCTGCGTATTTCCGCGGTAGGTCTGCGAGAATCCAAGCCCCTTGAAGAATGGGAGTGCCCACGCGCAAGCAGCCGGGATGAGTTGTGCTCGCACATTCTGCCAAAGGCGGCCGCCGCCGGGCCGCAGAGCCGGGCTGACGCCTCAGAGGGCCAGCAGAGTGCCTCTTCTCTCGTGGTAACGGGAGGGGAGAGAAGAAGAAGAAGAAGAGAAGGAGAGGCACGACGACGGCTGCAGCTGGCCGTGCAGGGATCGCTCTCGAGGGCTGAGATGACACTGTCGAGCAGTGACCCCCTTTAATTACTCTGAAAGGAACTCCGTTACACACAGGAGTCCACCGAGAGTCGAAAAGTTGAATCGAGATGCGAGGGGGGAATAACTGAACAGTGAAGCATGGTCGTCGAGACCTTCGACCCACACCTTTGCTCCTCGCTTTGCCTCTCGCTCTCCTTGCCTGTTCAGTGCCCACGCATCTTAAGAGACCCGTTCCGAAGTCACCCACAGCCGAGGAGCCACCGCCAACTGGCGCAGACGCGGCCCAGGAAGCGATCTCAGCAGCTGCATCTGCGGGATGTGAATTCCTCGAAATCCATGGGCTGACGAGGCTCCGCTGTCGAGCAATGAGGTCAAGGCCTGCAAGTCAAGTAGGGTTTTGTCTCATATCTTCTTCATTTGAAGATTTTGGAATCCGAAACAGTCAACAGGCACCTGCGACCAAGTTGGAACTAGCTGTTCTCAGCAAGGCCGGCCGGAGTTTTACCATGCTCACTGAGACTGTGCAAGAACTCTCGTGCCATCGGCTCGTACCACACCGCACAAATGCGAAAATTGGACAGGCCCTACGATCGTGCCTGCAACAGAAGCCAAGCATCACGCGAACTGGAGACGAAGTCAGGCATCCTGAATGCTGAGGAGATCTTGGCATCACTGCCAAGGAAGGTGATTGCACGCCCGACCACAGGACAATGGCGAGAATTTTCCCACAGCGAAGAACCTGGGAGCTGCGCCTCATCTCGCCGATTGTGACTCAAATCTGGGCACTGCGAATCTTCTATGAGAGCTGTCATTCGATCACGGTCAGGGATGTATGGGACAATTGAAATCGCTGTCAAGTGTTGCCATGGTCGTGTGGCAACACGAAGCACACGAGACGGCACCCCGCCTCTCGAAGACATCGTTCCAACCCTGCCGCGAACGCAGCGTTGCGGGCGCACTTCAGCCTACTCGCGAGCCGATGTCGGAGAACCTCGCCACACCATATATTATTATACTCTATTCTGTTATATGATATGATATGATATGATATTATATTGTATTATCTAGCTATGTGAGTCTTGGGGAATGGTCTTTGCATTGGGCGTGCTGGGAGGACAAAGAGCAAATACAAGAAGCACTCGCAGAGCCTTCGGCCCGGTGTGTCAAGCTCTCTCTTGTGCAGAGATGTCAGCGCGTGCCAAGGTTGAAAGCCTCGGGAATGTCAAACCAAGAGCGGAACTATTTGTACGCATGTGCACGTGCGAACTTCGGGGGGCGTTGAGTCCATGTGGCTCCACCTGCTTTGAAGCTCAGTCGGCGGAAGCACTGGGTCAGTAGGACTAGGACTAGGGTAGGACGGAAGTTGCCGGTGGTAAGTGCTGTGCAAAACGAGAGTCAGCAGCACAGATGTCGTGGCAAGCCCGTTGCCAAGCCATTGCAGACCGACTGCATGGTATTTGTTGCAGCTCAGCGTTTGAATTTGCGAGTGTGTATCCTGCCAGTACGACCGGCTCAAACTCTCCTGCTGCTTCCAAAACGATCAGAAACCGTTCAAGATGGCTGCCGAGGGTGAGACGTCAGGCATGGTTGACATGAAGGCCCAGGGTAGAGGCACTTCATTGGCTGCTTGGGGGGTGGTGGTGCGAAGTTCATGACGTACCAGGTGACTGCCAAGAAGAGCATCAACTTCTACATGAACTCCGCGAAAGCATTCTTCACGGGAGTTGTTGACACTGAAGGCAAAAAGCGCGAACCCGCCACTGCCTAAGAACAGCAAGAGCTCTCTGAACCTTGTGACAAACAATCCAGCCACCTGCTGCCATTCGTCCGAAGGTCTGTGTTCTCAACATCTCGGGTTTGGGTGATGCCATCAATGTCGCCGCTACTTCTCTGCACTTTGTATGAGGGGTCGCGCGGGCTGCGAAGGGCGTGCGGCGAAGCCAGGCTCAAGCTGCTGGGGCCGTCGTCAAGGAGGGCCTCGCCGTGTGCTGAGCGCTTTTGACTCCATGACCGAAACCCCTCCGTCGCAAAGCAAGGCCACCATCCAAAAGATCGAAACTTCGTACCCTGCTCCGTCCCCAGTGCACACCAGGAAAAAGACGTGCAACTGCAAGAAGGGTTGGCAATACTATGAAGAGTTGTGCCTTGCCGAGAGAGGCGCCCAGTCTCTTTATGAAGCCGAGGAGATGAAGCTGACCAACGGCTCGGAGCGGGGCTGTGCGGAAGCCTCAGAAGCTCGAAGCTGGCAGCTCATGTCTCAAGACCCTTAAGCCTTATTACTTACCCTTGGCTTCTTTGAGTGACGACACATGACCCGCATGGTGCTTTGCATCCAAAGTCGAAAAAGCCACAACAGTGTTTGCATCAGGAATGATCTTGTCGAGCATGGCCCGTCTTATCAAGCCATCTCTGCTCACATTGGTACGATTACTGCCAGTATTGATATCGTTGCGGGTTTGCTAGAGTTAGAGTCTACAGGTGCAGTGATGGATAGTATCGATCTGGAGTAGCTATGACTGGAGCCGCAACACACTCCCGTCCGTTTAGGATTGGGATTTGAAAGCAGACTTCGCAGCCTTCGCAGCCTGATGGCCAGGGTTTGAGAAAGTAGCTCTATCTGCTTGATCAACTTCCTTGAGCCCCCCCTGTGAGCATGTTCAGACACGCGCTGTAGGCACAAAGTGTGGGGACAGCGGCCTTGAGACTTCAGGCGAGGATCATGATCACCTTGCACAAGAAGGTTTGAAGAGACTGCTGGAATGCAGCTTACATGCGGAAGTCAACACCAGTGAGACTTGGATTTGACAGTAGCAGAAGTGGGAAAAGTCTTTTGCCAGACGCATTGAGCTGCACTTGGTCTGTCGAGTTTAAACACAAGTTCCGCTGTGCTGGGGACGGCATAGGCGAAGTGCAAGAAACGCATCGTTGGTTCATACTATATGAAAAACCCATGAGCCTCAGCACCTCTGTCGTGGGATCGCCTCTCTGACTCCAGCATGGCATGTGTCGATCCGGAGTAGGATGTATCAATAGGCAATGCTTGTGGTCGGCGGCACACGGCAAGTGCCACGAGAGCCGCCTCCTGGCCGCTCACTGGAGCATGTCAGCACTCATACCGACAGTATACGGTGCAGTGTTGGATGAGAGTGAAAACGGTCTTGCTAGAGGTGTGCGGCTCAGGCATTCAACGAGACAGTCGGCTTGTCGCCAACTCCCAAGATGTCGACCGGCCAATCTCAGAAAACGGTAGGGTTCTGCAGAGCCAAGCATTGCAATGAGAAGGGTGGTCGTGTCGGCATTCCGGTTCTGTGGAGACATGCGTGAAAATTTTGCTGGGCTCAAGGCAGCAGCATAAACCGCTGGACCCAAAGCGCTGTCTCAAGATTGTGATTATCCATGTCAGCCTTAACTTTCTAATGCTCTTGTAGAAGCCCTTCCGCCGCGAACTTCATGATGAGCGAGGTTTCTTTAGCCCGCGCCTGAGCCCATGCAATCTCAGAATTATCTGGCGGGTTGGGGCTTCGGGATGGTGCTGCCACCGCTTGCAGCCAAGACGCTGTTGACAGGATTGGCCCCTGAGCAAGGAGGAGCAGAAAAAGAGGATCATGCGACTGTATGACAAGGCGTGTGAGGGCTCGAGTGCGGTGCTTCTTTCAGTAGCAGTCGACAGTTCCCAGGATGTCCAAGCTGCCAACGAGCTACTCCATTCTGGGGAGGCGGCCTTGAAGGTGGCCTTGAAGGCACAATGCACTACGAGCCCGGGACCGGATAGTTGACAACAGCCCCCTTGGGAGGCCTTGCACCAGAAGCTGAAGGATAGCCAAGGGGAGGGCAGCACGGCTTCTCAGGCGCTACTGTACGGAGACCATTCAGTGAGTTGAGCGAAGGCGGCATTGAGCCAGGACACGACTTGTCCAGAGCAGAGACACCCTGGAGGTGATGAATCCTGCAGTGTCCTGCAGTACCGTGCTTCTTCTCAAAGCCTGGGGGGTCGGATCAGGCCGTGAGGCTGTGACGTCGATCCGGTCAGAACCGGAAGAACCCAAGACGCCCAGTGGCCCAGACAGCCTTTGCAAACTTTGCATGCATGGAATATGCATCTGAGGCCGACCTCGCCTGCCTGCACCGAGCAAACGGAGCAAACAGAAGAGGCAGCATGACTGAATCAGAAGTGTCAGCATCCACCGAGCGCATGCATGAGTCCTGATGATGCTCGGCAGCAAGGCGGCGGAGGAAACTCCGGAGGACGGCGAAAATGCGGCGGAAGCTGCAGCGTGCTGCCGGCCTTCTTTTGCACCTGGGTGTTTTGCCATGCCTAAGTCCCAAAATTCCCAAATATTTCTCCCAGTTGTGCACTGCACTAAGCCCTGGGTCCACCTTTCGGGAGCCGCTGAGCCTCGGAGCCAAAGGCGTTTGCAGCATGCCATCGTGGACGCCGCTGCTGCGCCCCAGACTTGGATGTGCATTGCGACACGGAGACACGTCGGCCTTGCAAATGTTGGCAAGGCTGGCTTCCCTGTCGGGGTCTCATTTCAGCAATCACAGCCACAAATTAAATACTCAAATACTGCATCATGAAGACAATATGCAGGTTTGGGACTTCATCCTTGTCTTCCGTGCTGGCGGAGGGCTCAAGCCACGGGCCGTCTCCGGTGTGCCTCACATGTGGCTGCAGGTGGGCATTGCTGCCGACGCAGACAAGGATCACGTCGTTTTAAACCCAATATTTGCACGCAATGGGAACGAGGGATGCAATCGACACCCCGAGGACAGCCCAGAGGAGTGCAGTGAGGCGAGGGAGCTCGGTCCGCTTTCAGCCTCGACGTGTGCGATGCTCCGCCAGGTCAGGCAACGCGCAAAGTCCGAAGGCACCTTTCAAGTGAAGCTGTTGTGCTAGTCACCGTGCCGCATGTTGATTTGCCGAATTTTAATTCCTTTGACACTTCGGCGCGGTGACTTCGGCCCTTGCTGCCGGAACCTTTGCCAAGCTACTTTAGCTGGCATGCAGGTTCCCGAGTCATTGCCCCGGCCATCCAGAAGCCCGAGGACTGCGTGCAGTGCATCGGTGGCTCTGTTTGGTTTCTGCAGTAGAGAAACCGCGAAGGGATCCTGGATACCAGGATCGTCGTCGCAGAAAGTCGCGGGGGGGAGAACCATTGAAAGTGTGAGTGCCTCGGGTTTCAGTAGCTTCAATTCCGCACGCCGGTTGCACCTCACATGAAGCCTACGGGGCTTCTAACGAGGTAGGTTTACATAAGGCTCCTTTGGAACACTGGTGACTGCGTGGCTCACATGGAATCGCAGAAGTACAAAGGACTAGTGAGCTTTTGTTGCTGACCAGGTCCTTCGCAGACGAGGAGGACTCCTCGTTTTCCACCGCATCCGGGCATGACGTAATTACCACTCTGATCCAGGATGCTGCCCGAAAAGTGTACATGTCGCAAATGACTAAACTGCACGACTGCACGACATGCAGCTTAGTTGGACCAGTCGTTGTGAGTGCCACTGGGCAGAAAGACGGGCACATGAGTAGAACGTCCATGCAGGCAGCAAGATCACAAGAAAGATTGAGTGCTAAATTTCGAGAGGAGATGGAGGAGCATTGGCCAGGGAGGTCTAGCAGCAGAAGACGGCCCTCCATCGGAGAGCCTGAGCCTCCTCCCCCGAGCTCCCCATTGGCAAAGCAGGCAGTAGTGGGCTTCTTCTTTGTGCCTGGTGAAATGGGGGGAGTACGGGGAGCCGGGGAGCTCTTCCGCAGCAGGCGCCCAAAGCTCCTCCGGCTGGCCCGGCTGCTTTGTCACAGGCTTTACAGGGTCAGCAGCCCAGAAATCTGTAAGCAGAACAAGTGTCAGCCTTGCTTTGGTCGAACTGCCAGCAACCGCACTTGGTGCAAGAAGGCCGGGCGAGTGGGGTGCGCATGATGCGGAGCCTCGTCAATGGTACGTCTCAGGCCAAACGAGAGCCTGCGTACAACGACGTCAGCGACGAGGCACCGATAGTACCGCTCAACCTAAGGGTCTGAAGGTGGAAGCCTTGATGGTTTAGGGCTTGTGACGGCGACACGTTGTTTAAGCGAAGGCCTTCGCCCAAGCTTGCCACGCAGCTGGCAGGTTTTTGAGGGTCGTTATGTTGATGCAGGACAGCTCAGACTCCGTAACTGGGAAGTTTTGTCGTGTTCAGGTTGCTCGGGACCAGGACTTCCAATGCATGTTCAGATTCCCGTGATGTCAAAGTGTGATGTGTATCAGTGTAGCGGGATTGTGCAGACCGCAATCCTGGTCTTACGGATGCTTCCCCAGTCTTCTGCAGTCTCAAAATCATGTTCAGATTCCAAGCTCCTTGAGACGACTATCGAGCAGTGAGAGTCCAAGCAATAGGATCCCTGTTGTAAGCATTGTCCCTAATAGGCCCTAATATAGAATCTGCAAGAGCACTGCAACACATCTGCCGCCCTCGCTGAGCAGGCCGGGCCCCACCCACGCCGTCATCTGCACCGGCCGGGATGTTGGACTTCATATGAGCCGTTCGGAGTGATCTGGTTCGCAAGAACTACATCCAGGGTCCACAGCTTATGCTTCGGCCTTCGAACGGCTCAGAAGACTTGCTTGCTAATGCTCCCCATTCATGACAAAATGGGCGTGCCTGGCATCATCGTGTCATGGTGCAAAAGAGTCCTCAGCTTGTCGTGCGTCCAGTTCGGGCGGGTGGTGCCTGGTCGAATTGCAGCGCCCCATCATGGCCCAAGAAAGAAGGCTACAAAGCTAGCCGATCACGCAGCCATGGGTGAACAACGTCCAGTGCGCAAGCTCTTCCTTGGCGCTTTGGCTTTGGCTGGCCCCTGAGACGGTGAGACGGTTCGGGGTCCGGAAGGGTTTCTCCTCTCCTCAAACCCGCCTGCAGACGGAGGCTGCTTGTTTTGCTTGCTTGGCAGCACATCTGCGAGCTGTGTTCTCAGCTGTTCACCTGGGATCGAGAGCATCTACTCAGCTAGCAAGCCTGCCTTGCAGAAGCTCAGGTGGCCTTCATCCCGAGCAGTTCGGCAAGTGTCAGAAGACGGCTGCTGCTCACACAGGTGCAAGCGTAGGTCGCAAAAATTGTGGCACCAGGAATATGTTTCCCACTAACACACCCGAGACAGCATAATCCATGCTTACAACTCTGGTGGCTCTTCTGGCCTGTTTGTCATCTCGTGTCCGTCTGCCCCGCAAATTACAGTGGAACGGGAAAACATCATGCACGAGAGTCATTATGATTTTAACTCCCCTGGCCTACTGCTGCTGCTGCTGTTGCTGCTACTACTACGACGGCGGCGACGACGACTAGTACTAGTACCAGTGCTGCTGCTGCTGCTGCTGCTGCTGCTGCTACTACTACTACTACTACTACTACTAACCACTAACTGCTACTACTAACCACTAACCACTACTACTACTACTACTACTACGACGACGACGACGGCGGCGGCGACGACGACGGCAGGTACATCTAACCCTGCTGCTGCTGCTGCTGCTCTGCTAGTGCTGCGACTACTACCACTCTGCTGG